TATTGACCCAAATCTTGGTTTTATTTATAAAATAAATATTTAAATTAAATATCGCTTTGAATTATGAGTTAAATGTTATGACAATTAAAAGGAAACTTTGATTTAATGATTGAAACGACAATCAAATCCATTGATTGCTTCAATAAAGTGACGGTTTGTCTGGTTTTCAGTGAAAACCCATTTCTATCTGTCATTCAATTGCTTATCAATTATTTACACAAATTTGACGACAAATCACTTGTTTTTCAATTTGTTTTCCGATATTTCTCTCATTTTCGTAATTATAATCATTTAATTCATATTAATTTTTTGATATAACAGTAATATTGGTATTTATTTTGGGGGAAAATGACATGTCATGTGTTTTTTGGGAAAATTTCAATTTTTAATGAAAATGATTGTAAACTTTTTATTTTAATTTTATTAAAATTTAATAGTCTATTGAATAACTATTTAACAATTGACATTTACATTCTCACTGTGAATGTGTTTTTTAAAACACTTAACATTAATTACTTATTTAAATATTTGTACATTTAAAGTCTAGACGTGAATAATTATCATATTTTAGTTGATATCTAATGTGTAATCTAATTTGTTAGGATTTAACACTGATTTAATTGATGATATTTGAGACAAATTGTAGTCAATGTTATACTGTATTAATCAATATTTAAACGATATATAATATACTGACAAATGTATAATAAATTACATAATAATTATATTACATATTGTCTCAAATGATATATAACTTCGAGAAATGTTATATAATGTGAGATCTGATTATTGGAGCGAATATTAAATGAATTGAAACCAATTAAATGGATATGTATTGCAGTTCTGTATTATATTCATTAATTTAACTTAAAAACAAAAATTTAGGTACAAATTAAATAATTTATCAATTTTATTGTACTAAACATAAGATTACTATCTATTCGCACATTTTTACTAAAAACTAAAAAAGGAAAAACATTTTTAAGGAGAAAATAGCCATAAAATTTGTCATTTTGCACTGATATTAGAATATAACTACAAATATAAAGTATTATATCAATTAAACAATTAGTTAAAATTTAATGATGAGTACTTGAAAATTAAAATTAAATTATCAGTGCATATAAACCGGCAAATATACGGTAATTAAACAGGTATTTAAAATTGACGACAAATTCTTTATCGCTATATCAAACAATTTCTAATACAATAGAATACCAGTTATTACAAGTAATGACAAGAATGTGTTCACATTTTTATGATAAAAATCTTTCATTTGTTTCACACCTTCTTTTTTAACCAATTCTAACCGATCTTAAGATGATTTCAATTTTTAAAAGAGATATTATTTCACACCCTTTAGATAACTCATGATTTTACATGTGTTTTAATCAATATTTTTAATGTGTTATTTGTGATAAGAATTTGCGATATTTTTACCAATTTTATTATTCTTGTAAGACATAAAAACTCTGTAAATATGTCTTTGGTTAGCAAACTTAGATCTTGGTAAATATTTTTATATGGAAGTGTTATAAAATATAATTTAGCGCAACATATAATACTATATAACTTATAAGGTAGTCAACAATAGTTGCTTCTCTTAAAAGAATACTGTATTAAAATACTAAATAAAAAAATAAAAAATTTAATTTAAATAAAGATTGATATGATAGACACACACAAAGGATCATACCTTAAATTATACATGTTTTATGATTTACTGTTATTTGCATTACGTTATCAAGTGATCATTGAATGAATTCTTGTACTTTAATACTATTAATACTTGACTACCACTACAAGTAATATCTTAATTATCTTTGAGATTATTTCCATTTGCTTGCAATTCTTGCATTCATATGATGTATAAATACTAACGCATTTATAAATATTATTTTCAGATCGCTTTGGTTTCCAATTAGCAATCATATCATATACTCTCCGAAAACAATACAAACATATTTTTAAATATAATTCCAACAATTTTTACCAAATAAACTGTGATTATAATAAATCTATTTTCTATCATGTTATAATAGTTTTATTCAGTGTTTAAAAAGTTTTTAAAGTTTAATAACTATATTACAACTGAACCAAAATGTCTGCGATTGTCGACTCTCGTACGACCGATGCTCTCATGTCATCCATTTCCGCAACGGATCCATCAGTCATATGGATAGTGGTATTGGGTTTTATAATAGCATTTTTCCTGGCGTTTGGTGTGGGGGCTAACGATGTGGCCAACAGTTTCGGCACATCTGTCGGCTCTAAAGTATTGACATTACGTCAGGCATGCATTTTGGCCACCATTTTCGAGATCGCCGGCTCTATGACTATGGGTTTGTCTTTACATTTCATTTGGTTGTGTCTTATGTTTTATGTATCCATATATTTTGATTGATAGGTTACGCGGTGTCGAGTACTATACGGACCAAAATGATTGATATCGACATCTTTGCCGGCGAGGAAAAGCGGTTAATGTTGGGCTATTTGTCAGCTCTCATAGGTTTGTTCACTTTCCATATAAATACTATTTTAAATCAATAATATAGTCGAGAATTACATGAAAATATTTAAGTTAATTAGAGCAACTACTGTTATGACCCTGATATATTCACGAACTTTGTTAAATATGACCATGGCAATTTGGAATTATAAATTGCTGTACAGTATTTGTAGCAATAAGTGTGGAAAGTTGTTCCCAAATATATCACGTACTTAACACTTAAGCCGTGCTATCATTAAAGTAAATACTGTAGAGTGTTTAGTCATATGCTTTAACTGCAATTATTTTTATTTCATGTGTTTGACACAGTTTTGTCAATAACTAAAGTTATTAAAAAAGCATTTTCTGTTAATCTGGCGATTAATAAAAAGTTTATGAATCAAATAAATTCTAATAGAAATGCATTAAAAGAATATCAATTAAGTGATGATTGCATTGAAGTGTCACAACATTTAGACTATATTGACGTGTAGAGGAAGTGAAGACCTATTTTGCTTACTACAAGTGTTTTTTATGATGTACTTTACATTATGTTCGTTATGTTTATTAAAATGTTCTTCATATTTACGATAAGATAAGGGCAATAGTGTACCACTAAATTGGTAGCAAAGTTAGCTTTTTTAAATTGTTTTACAATTGATGTCCATTTTGTGGAATTTAGTGAACATATGATATAATAAATTGTATGATATAATGGTCTGAAATAGGAGGTGCCGTATGGAATCTTGTGGCCACTTTTGCCGGAATGCCCATCTCTGGCACCCATAGTATCGTCGGCGCTATCATTGGTTTCGCGGTTGTGGCCAAAGGCTTTGGAAGCGTTAAATGGATTGAAATTGCAAAGATTGGTATGTATTTGACTTTTCAATTCCTACCTTTAATGATAACTGATTCATGGTTTATTGGACTCAACAGTCGGCTCGTGGTTTGTCAGTCCTATCCTTTCAGGAATCGTTTCCGTTTTGATATTTCTTGTTTTGCGAATATTTATTTTAGAAAAGGTATTGATATTTATTATAAAAAGT